TCAGTCCGGTCAGTGGCGTGCAAGGCTATCGTAGTTTTACTGAGGCACCAGTGTCAGAACTTTTGACCTACACCCATCTTACCTGTCCACACTGCCACGCACATTCACTCCCAAGACACACAACCACACCAAATACCACACAATGAGTGTCTAAAAATGGCACCTGTCACGTAAGTGGGAAGCTTGCTCCAAGCTCCTCTGCTGCCAAGTCTGTTACAGCGTGCTAGACACCCTCGCTAGCTCACGAGAGAACGCGGACAGCGCCGTCGGCCCGTTGCTTTGTGTGGAGTGGTCGGCCGACAGACCAAGATCCCATCCACAATGTTTCCCTGATGTACCCTCCTTAGCACTTATATTGTATGGAATCATAACCAGTTATGCCGCTCCAAACCAACCGTTACAGCGCCCACAACGTAGCCACGAGGACCATCGGTACACCCCCTCCCACTTCTTCGTATTCCAGACGCCCCGGATGACTACATACCCGCAACACTCCACAACGCCCAAAGTCAACCATGAAACCCCGCTTAACCGCACACTCCATACCTACAGATCTAACACCTTCATCAGCCGACCTACCAAACACAATAACTCCCAACCCGCCAACGACAGGACACTGCCCGAACACACCCCGAACCCCAGCGGTGTCAACCCACAGCGACCAAACCCACCACAGACCCACCCACATCCAAAACACGCAAAAAGAAGCACAATGAGATAAACCATGTATTAAATTACAAATTACTCATGCAACCATCCTTAGTCGACCTCTTCAATGGTTGGACCTCGGCCACCGGCACCCGCTCCAGCTCCAGGCATACCACCAGGCATACCTCCTGGCATATCACCACCCGGCATGCCACCGGCTTGGTACATCTTTGTGATGATCGGATTGCACACCGACTCCAACTCCTTCTGTCGATGCTCGTACTCCTCCTTGTCTGCCTGCTGGTTACCATCCAACCATTTGATTGTCTCCTCACACTTCTCCACAATCTTCTTCCTATCATCTTCCGGTATCTTCTCCTTCACCTTCTCCTCCTCCACTGTCGACTTCATCGAGTATGCATAACTCTCCAGCGCATTCTTCGCTGCAACTCTCTCACGCTGACCCTCATCCTCCGCTCGGAACTTCTCCGCATCATTCACCATCCTCTCTATCTCCTCCTTCGACAGTCGACCCTTGTCATTCGTGATGGTAATCTTGTTCTGCTTGCCTGTCGACTTGTCCACCGCAGACACATTCAGAATGCCGTTGGCGTCAATATCGA